TGTGTCCTCAACCAAATAGGTTTTGGGCGTTAAAGGAAAAAACTCCGACAGCCAGCTTTCACACTGTGAAAGAGTATGGAAGGGGGATCACGTTGAGGAGAGCGGCCTCAATGCACCAGCTGAAACCGACTCAAGACATGGCATTTATCTGTAACGACCACAAGCTATTACTCCGTGCTTCCAAGGTGCCCTCAGACTCTACATTTTAAAATTTTCTTTGCGTGAAGGCTTCATGCTTGCTTATGGTAGGGTGCAACCAAACGCAATGCAAAGAGCCCTACAAGAAAGCCCAAATCTGAAAGCTGGCATCTCCAACCTAAGGCGAACCATAATTACGCACAGAACCAAAGGTTACTTACTCTGGGTTCCGTTTTCAGTAGCTGCTATATAGGAACACAGTGCACAACGACAGATAGGCTCACAGGGGTCTGCGAGGTGGAAGACTTCTCTAGTATGAATATGCCCAGTATCGTCTGGGGAGGGTAAGCCGTCTTTACGGGGCGCGCGACGGTGCGTGTGGTGGAGGACGGCGCGAGCGCGCGAGGCGGCGTGGAAATGTAAAATTGCAATGGAGCATTCTGAGTCAAAACAGTGCCATTTTGTTTTCTTTTTGTTCCAAAATCGGAACAAATTTGAGGCAGCCGCGCAGGTGTAACCCAAGGGGGCAACCCGAGGTGTTTCGCTGTCAGATACGACTTGGCAAGCTGTACATGCATGCATGTGTGCATGTGTGCATGTGTGTGTGTGTGTGTCGCGTCTCCGGTGTGCACGTTTGTTGTCTTCGTGCCCCTCTATTGCGTAAGTTAGGCAAGACTTCGCCCCATCTAGCCACTGAACCGTCAGGGCACAATTCGTCAGATGGGCAAGAATATGGCACCTTCCCGTTTCTGACTTCCCTGAACTTCGGTGATGAATCTCAGGGAAACCGCACACACAGAATGCCTCTGCCACGAATCTTCACAGACTTCAATTTCTAGGTTGGTTACATACAATTAATTGCATACATATATAGGAATGTGACACAACGATTTTTCACCGCTGCAGGAATCACCAAGAGGAAAATCAAGAATCTCACAGCAGCGACTTTGGCTGCAAGTGGCTTCTGAGAGTCTACTGACTTCAGGCTCCATCAGGAAGCAGGACCTGCCGGGCGACAAACCCAAAGTCCAAAAAGCCTAAAAACGACGACCTAACATATGAATATGTGCATATGTATGTATGTATGTATGTATGTATGTATGTATGTATGTATGTATGTATATATGCACGCATGCATGTATACATGCAATCCATGCATACATACAGACAGACAAACAAACAAATATACATACATACATACATACATACATACATACATACATACATACAGACAGGCAGACAGACCGACAAACAGACAGACATACACACATACACACA